ACTCACTTTATAAATAGCTCTGTAATGCACGATGCATAGGATAGTTTTGGTTTTTCTCTTTCTTCTAAATTTCCTTGAATCTCTTGATAAATTCATGTGTTGAATTGTGCTCTTGTTTTTTATTCAGCGTGAGTATATTTCGAAACTCTCAAAAATGCCTAAATGAGAATTTAGGCACCCTGAGTTGCTTAAGGTTAGCTATGTAATGATATGGTGGAATACTTTGTAGGCCTCCCTGTGGCAGGGAAGTTCACTTGACCTTGTTTCACAAAATGTTTTCTGATCCATAATGGACCACAATATTGTAACAAAGCACCCAGTAGCTGTCTATCTGTGCTGCCACGCTACACAATACCAGGCCTCATATTCCGTTAGAGATGCTAATAGGACGAGGAAGCGATTTCGAAATGGTACTCCAGGCAGGACAATTTGGTAGACAAGACTAAGTAAATAAGTTGTTTGACCTTGTTTCCGCAACTTGGTCATATTGGTAGGAAGACTTAGAGGAACGCACCTAGTCTGGAGTCCAGTGTATGCATGATCATTTCTAAATTAAACCGTGGACGTGGTACATTCCAAAACGTTTTGCCGGCATCGTATCCGGCATCGTCAGTGAGTCTTGCCATTCAACTCAACAACAACTCATCAAAGAGACAAGTGAAGCCGATCATTTGAACAAATGTGTGCTGGGCTATTCAGCTTTCCTATATCCTCCTATCACGCCTTTACTTTAACAATTTTCTTCCTTGTTTATTTAAATCTAGTGTGATGTACCCTTTTGAGTGGCTTTCATGAGAACTCTCAACACTCCATGCTGGTGTTCTCACCCCCCTTCACTCTTTTGCTGGGAATGTTGATCAGAATGTGTCATATAGTTACGCCGTCCTTTTTCCCTAGGTCTTATCAGAGTCTTCCTCTCGTACCGTATGATCCATCTGCTATCTCCCTGATTCAGGTATTTTACTCGACCCCTGCTACCAAATCTATGCTTCGTGGGGCGTTATTTCACACACTCTGCGTCTGCTAGACTAAATTGAGACTCAAGATCCCGAGTAATTGTCATTGTCAAGCCTATGCTTCATGGACCACGTCTATGATAAAAACAGGTCTGCTGTCAGTCAAGTAGCTCTAGTCTCCGCCGCGTCTAGTCTGTTTCTATCCGTAATACCAAGTCTATGACTTGCTATGCCCTAGTCTTTTGTATGCCAACCCACAAATCTTGTGGTACTTCCAGCTTTGATAAGGGTCAATGTTGAATCACAAAATTTGTTGGTTGGCACACAAGAGATTAGGACATAGTAAGTCATAGACTTGGTATTGCTGATAGGAACATGATAGACGCGGTGAAGACAAGAGCTAGTTGGCAGACAGTAGACCTGATTTACCATAGAAGTGGTTTATGAAGCATAGGCTTGACCATGACAATTACTCGGGGTCTTTAGCCTTAAGTTAGTCTAGTAGATGCAGAGTGTGGAAAATAACGCGTCGTGGAGCATGGATGGGGTGGCAGGGGTCGAGTGAATTACTTGAACCAGGGAGATAGCAGACAGCTTCTACGGGGCAAGAGGGAGACTCTGATAAGACCTAGGGTAGGACGACTGCGTAACAATATGGCACACTTTGAACAACATTCTCAGCACAAGGGTGAAGGGGGGTGAGAACACTAGCGTGGAGTGTGGAGGGTTCTCTTGAAAGCCGCTCAAAAAGGGAACATCATACTAGATTTAAATAAGCAAGGAGAAAAAATAAATTGTGAAAGTGAAGGCGTGATACAAGGATATAGGAGAGATGGATAGCCCAGGACAGGAGGAGAGAAACCACAACTGTTTAGCACACATTTGGTCAAAGGATCGGCTTTACTTATCTCTTTGACGAGTTGTAGTGTGGTGCTGAGAATGGCAAGATTTACTTACGATGCCGGCGAAAAGTCTGTGAATGTACCACGTCCACGGTTCGACTGGTAATTATCATTCATACAATGGACTCCGGACTAGGTGCGTTCATCTAAGTCTTCCTACCAGCATGACTAACTTGCGAGAAAAGGTCAAACAACTTCTATACATGGATTCTGTAACGATTTTTATTTGAAGCCCGCATTCTTTTGCATTTTATAACGATGTGATTTTGATTCAACAGCATGGCCTATTATCCTTCTCACTTACTTATTAGCACTTTAAGATCTAAAACAATTCTGAGGATTTGGAAGCATTTGCCTATTAAGATTAATAATTTAAATTTATACTCGCAACTTCTCTTCACAATCTAAACGCCCAAAATTATAGCAAACTAGTATTAGTATACTGTACATAAATAGTATACATTTTGTATATTAGGGCTAAATGTTATATTTCCATAGATTTCTAGGAGCAGTGAAAATTCTTTGCTCACCAAGTTAGATAATTATATTGACAACCCAGGATTCTTATAATAGTTTTACTGATAGCTTTAAACACTATCACCTTGTCCATATCTTCAAATAATAGTTACATGAATATACACGCATTTACATAATCCCTTGAAATTCACATCATTCTTTGCTCTATTACACAAGCATACAATGGGGCTCATGTATATTCATTAACCCACGAAGAATCGTGCCTATTCACATGCGAGCTCACTTCCCTTTTGCAGACTCCTCAAGCCTACTGTCCCTACTGTCCGGACAGTCAAGGTCTTGAACGCCTTCGTCATCGTACACCGTTATCTTCACCTCTAGATGCCTGGCAAATACCGGACTTCTTTCGACATTTATCTAACCAACCACAAAACACCGTTTCCACTGCATATGGCCCCTTAGGGGAAGACTATCAAGCCTCGATTCTACCAAATGGCTTTCACGGTGCCTGGACCAGCGATCGCTGCGAGTCGGGTCCTCATGATACCTACGTCACACGAACCCTTCTGCTGAAAGCTACTGTTGGGCCTGACACTGCACAGCCTAGTTGGCAAGTATCAGCCGAGTTGCCTAGTGAATACGCCGTTGATAGAAATAACTTAAGTTCTCCAGCCACCTCGTCCTACTCTTATTCTGCTTCTCATGGTCATCTCTCTTCATCATCCATTATGACAAAGAACCATTCCGATCAGCCTGTAATAGGACAGGTTAACCGCCCTCTCCAAGCGGATTATGTTTCATCCTCTGAGCAGAAGGATTCAACAAGTCATCTGATCAAAGCTTCAGATCATCCGAATGCTGGCTTTAAGCTTAAACCAAGGCAGCAGACACATTTGCTACGTATGGGGATCCCAGCTGGGTGGCAACTGCGACACACTGTCTATCATGATATCAGTTGTCTTCTGCCAAAGTATTCAATAGATGTAGAGGGTGTGTATGAGTTGCGGGCTGATGGACTATTTGTCAGCGATCCAATGACGATTGAGGCGCGTTTCGACTCAAAATCGTAAGTCAAACAGCCTCTTTTTTTAAAAAATATTTTTTTACTTTCGTGCCAGTTTTATATCAACAAGTTCATCAAAAATGCACAGTGCTAACTTTAGTCAGTGCTTTTCCATTTTCGAAATGAAACTGCTCCACTAGCATTCACTATTCCTGTGTTAGACCATACAGAAAAGCAAGACAGTTAGATAGGAAGAAAAATTCGATTTCAAGAATTTCTTGGTGATAAATTGTGAAATAACGTTCTATTTCGGAGGAAAAGGTGGTTGGAATGAATTCACCCATATGGAATTGGAATGGTCTCACCGTAAACCGAAGGGGGATTGTCACAGAGTGAAGATTGTTGGATTGTAGGAAGTAGTCCTCTGCTCACCTTT